AGGCCACAAAGCCTATGAGTAAAAGTTGCTTAACCTGAAGGCTAAGAGGTAACAATATTTTTAAATATATGACTGATTTCCCAAGAGAAATACCTGTTAACTATTTTCTGTTTCCATTATGGGCTAACAGAAGAAAAAGTTGAAGCTGTACCAAGAACATGGGCAATTAAACATCTGAATAGGCATTAGGCAAAAAAGATGAATTTCTCTCTTTGAAAATATTTACAAACTCTACCTGTGAAATAGAAGGTAAACGTGGTCCAGATGACATCTGAGTGTCCGTTCTCCATATAGGTGATTCCTTACTGCTTAATACCCATGTCTGCATCAGGGTACTGAGCCCATTCTCCAGGGCAGGCAAGCCACAAGTCTCACAGGTCACAGTGACTGTCGTGGGTTTGCCCTGACAGGTGAATGTGTAGGTTTGGTTTATGCCATCTGCTGTCTGCATTCTTCAATTTCCTGCCTCATTAGAAACATAGCCAATAACAGTTTAATTGATGCAGGATCCATGAAAACAGAGGAAAAGCAATTATAAAATACAGGTCTTTACAATTTATTTAGAGACTCAGAAACATTATTAAGTTATATTAAGTTATAGAGAATTAGAGTAGGATTCAGAAGTAATTACTTTTATGCCCAATAACTATTACTGAACATATCTTAATGCTAGATTATTTATAGCTAGAAGTAATTATTTTTAATTTTTTTCTGTTGTATTAAAAATATTTAAAAAATACCCCAAGCAAATTACCTGTAAACTTAATTCATGTATGAAAGAGGAAAAATTAGTACTATGAATACTTGCATTTAGACATTGAGGTATTCAAAGAGATATGTCTTAAGAAAAATTGTACTGAAATATGTTTTTAAAATTGAAAACAACAAATAGTTTGCAAACTTTCAAGTTATAATCATTGAATTTCATATTTGTTTATAAAACACCCAGTTTACAATTTAATATCATGAAGATATAACTACATTCAATATAATGATTTGCAAAATTATAACTATATATTAATTACAGATGTATTTTGTCTGTTGTTAATGAAAACAAATGTTTTCATTAATGTTCATTAACATCAACCAAATACATCCCAGGCATGCGCAGTCAGGTAGTAAAAAAAAGCTTTACTGAAAGGCCAGTGATTTCTTCAGATTCTCATTGATCTCCCATCACTGTCAAACAATCTGCAGTAAGAGATCCTGGTCCTGGAGCCTCATAATGTTTTTATCCTGCTTGCTTCGTGATTTGAGAATGTGAGCATAGGGTCAAGATTCTTTTAATAATTTCAGCAAATATTCCACATTTGTCGGGGCTTTTCTCTCCATAACTCTATTTGAACAATTTTTTTGTTCTACTTTCTTAAACAGTGTATGGACCTCCACTTTTTAGGACATTTTTTTAATTGAAAACCCATTAAAAACTAGGTTTTTCTCAGGAGTAATTTGCTCTTTATTAAAAAAATTATAAAAACACATTTTTAAAGCAAATGTGCCTTTACAGTCTAACCAAATGAACTAAAGTGAATGAAAAAAACTGGAGAAAATTGAAGTAACTCTTTACAAGGTCTGTATGGTTTGGCCTTTGTTTTTTCTAACTGGTAGCTATAGTTTCTAGAATGTTTCTGTCATTTGGCCCTTACATGGAAATAAACACTGATTTAATCAGTAAGCATTTTCTGGAGGATTTTTCTGCATCAACCTATGCTGAATTTTTCACATTAAAGATTCATCTCTTATTACACACTAGTTGTAGCTTTGAAAAATTGTATAGAAGTTAGTTTTACAAATAAAATCATTTGAGTTTGCTTTTGAAAAAAATGTGAAAAGGAAAAAAAATAATGTGGTTAATTTTGTTTGTGAGGGCAAGGATATTGCCTTCCTCCAGTCTCCTATTTTAAAGATATTCTCCTATTTTACTTATTTATTTTTAGAGAGAGGAAAGGAGGGAGAAAGACAAGGAGAGAAACATCAATGTGTGGTTGCCTCTACTGGGGACCTCTCGGCCCCACCAGGAGTCGAACCAACAATGCATCAGCTCTCAAGCTGGTATCCAATCCACTGAGCCACACCAGCCAGGGACCAGTCTCCTATTTTAAATCTTGTTATGTATGATTAGATTTGTTAAATGAGATATACAAAATATAAGCAAACCAACCACGTTTACATAAAGACTCCAAACGACAGAGTGTATTTTTAATGGACTCTGGATGAATTCGCGTTAATGATTTTACCAAATTAATTCCATATATTAGTAAAATGCTGGATATGCTTTTGAGATAAAATTTAACTGAACAAAGACCTATATAGGATTAATTACCAAGAATTCTGTAACAATCCTGGGGTGATTCTTTAAAAAATAATTCTGAGAAGGAATGTCTTATAATCATACTGTGTAACCAATTTCTAATCATAAAATGAATCTTACCATAATAATTATAGAATAAAGGACTTATTCTTATAATAGTTCTCATTGAAATGATAATCTCTTTCAAGGGTTCTCTGTGATTCCTGAATAAGAGCACTTGACACAGAGGGTATACAGTACAAAGCCTTGCTTATGGAGAATATTTATGTATTTAATAATATGTTTTGTATAGGAACTTATTTTAGAGTGAAAATTCTTGTTTAATTTTCATGTGCACATTTTCTTTGAACTTTCTCATTTTTTTAAAGAACATAATAGAAACATGTTTATTGACATGGAAAGATAATCAAAATACTATTGTTTTAAAAAGAAAATATTTTTATTTTAAAACATCCAAGTTCATGTCACTAGTAGAATTAAGTCAATTATATTTCATTGTGCTTTTTGGTAGTTTCTACATTTTCTACAATGTATATATGCCAGACACACCTGGGGCTGCTAAAACTCTTACTGCAGACAGCTGCCGCTGTGGCCCCAGTGCTGTGCTCACCCACCAGTGTTCTGATTACTCACTCAGCTTCCAGGAACTGTATCATGTGCACCCTTCATCATGGGCAGCAGCATCCTGTGCTCAGAAACAAAAATGCTGTGAATTAGAACTATCAATTTGAGCTTTCTCATTTTTTAATCCTTTCAATTTCATGAGTTATTAATACACCAATGTTCTATAGTGTATGCTCACCTTAATCCAAAAGCATGGTTGATTTGTTACTGAGTCTCTAAGTATTAATAGTTGCATGCCACATACGCCACCTCTAAAGATACTCTTGTGGCCTAACAGCTTAGTTCATCTATGGAAGCACTTTTAAACAGTTTCCTCATCCCTCCCTGGGTTGTTTCTTTAGGGCCCAGATGAACAGTGTTAGGCCCCTGGCAGTTTAATAGATGAAGAAAATGACAAATAACAATGATATGTTCCTTGAGAAGGCACCATTGCTTATTTAGGAAGTATTCAATTCATAAAGGTTATATCACTCAATACCTTCAAAAGAATTTTTTGACATTTGGAAATGTTTTGGACAACATGTCCACTTCCCATAACTTGCATGCTTTGAGTTTCCATGTTTTCTTCAGGTTCACAGAAATGTATGGGAGCTTATTGTTGTTTGCACTGTGTCTACAATTGGAATTTGGTGAGAGCATGCTCATCCTCACTAATGCTGAATTTTTTTTCTTTTGGTCAAATTAGACATCCTTCCTACTAAAACCTTGGCTAAATAATGGGACTGACTGGGAATTAAAGCAGAAAAAATAATAATATTGAGGATGTCTAAGACATTTTCTTCAAAAAGCAAAAAATAGCTATTGACAAAGTACAGTATTTTCCCAGTGCAGAAATTAGAACAGTGAAATCATAGTGATATGCAACCAATGATCATCTTTTCAATAAATATACCTCTTTATTGCTAATGCAGTTTCATTCAAGGATATAAAGGGTCAAGAATTGTATGTGTTATCTATTGCTGCTTAAGAAAGTACCTCAAAACTTTAGTGGCTTAAAAAAACAATATTTATTATCTCACATTTTCTGTGGGTCAGGGACTTGAAGTTTGCTTAGCTGTGTGGTTCTGGCTCGGGGTCTATAATGAAGTCAGTCAGGACGGCAGCCAGAGCTGAGGTCATCGAAAGGCTCAGCTGGGGCTGGAAAATCTGCTTTCAAGTTTGCTTGTGTGGCTGTTTGCAGGTGGCTTCAGTTTGTCCCCATGTGGGTCTCTCCACAGGACTTCTTGAGTGTCCTCAGTACACTGCAAGAGAAGCAGTCTAAGAGAGAGCAGCCAGGAAGCCACAGTACTTGTGTGACTTAGTTTCCCTGGTGCACACTGTCAATTCTGCTCTTTTCTGTTTATTAGAAATGAAAAGTAAGTTCCAGGCCACCATCAGGAATGGAAGACTTAGGCTCCCCTGAATTCCATTTAAGGGAATGTCAAAGAATTTCTGAACATATTTTAAGTCACATACATTCACAAGATTATTGGAAAGTGGCTTAAAATTTATTTAAAACTATTTTTAAATAGCAACCTAAATTCTCTCCACAAGCCATTGCCAGACGTGAGTTAGATTCTAGGTTATCATTCTGTCCACTGGATCATCTGCATCTCTGAAGCACTGGAACCTGTATGGTCCTGTGATCAGCACAGCTAGCCTGCATCCACAGGGTGCAGCACAAATAATGCCCCGTTTATATTATGAAATCTTTCATTACAAAATCATAAGCATATAATCTGTGACATAACAGTATCACACTCAAGCACACCCTATGACATTTTAGGTGAAATGTTCAGATTAAAACTATAAATTATTACACTCATATTATTACCCTGCCAATCACACTCAAGCAGGCCTTACTTCTGCCGGACCCTGTATATTCAAACAGTTTTGTGCGATCTACTTTATTTGACCAATCAAAAAACTTCTCTCAGTAATCAGACCAGTTGATAAATATGAAGTGCTTAAAATGAAAGCCAAATGAGTTTTTTTGGTTGAATTTTATGTAAAAAAATATTTGAAAATGTTTGACATGAAAATATCTTCATCACATAATATATCCTTTTCCCTTTCATGAATGAAGAGAGGATGGCTGTGTTCCTCTCCCAGCTCCAGCTGCCGGCTGCAATGTTAGCTGCCCAAACTCAGGGGAGGCCTGGTCCTCCCGGAAAGGATGGGTTACCTGGGCCGCCAGGGGACCCTGGGCCCCAAGGTAAGTCTTCAAGTGTAACATCTGTTTATCAGTTCTTTAATGCTCCATATTTATAACATGCTAATCACAGTTAAGAATATATATTACATATATAATGACAATATAGAATACTTGTTAATATTTGACATCCCACAGATTTTAAAACTGAATGATAATTATCTGATAATCTAAGTATATTTTAATAATAATGTTTGTTGTGATAATAACAGCAATCACAGACACTTATATACCATTACCTGGGAATCTCAAACTTGTTTTTGCTGCCCTGTGGCTGTACACAGATAACAAGAGTCATCATCTTAGTGTCTTAAAGAAACTGAGGAAAAAGTCTTAAGCTACTCTAAGTAGTAATTTGGAGACAAATATATTTTTGAGAAAATTTAGAATCATTTTCCCTGTAACAGACCTTGTGGATAATAACTTTTGAATTTTAAAGAATTTCTCATAGAGTTTATAAAATTGTTAAAGCAAGACCTTACTTAAATTGGCAAATAATTGATAGACAAGATCTTGAATGTAGCTTCACTAGATTAATCTAGCAAGGCCATTTTCTAGAACTCTGTTAGCAATCACCAAAGGGACCAAATTGCCCGTGGTTGAGAAGAGTCACAACTCCAACAAGGAGAAAGTAAACTCAGTGTGCACATACTGTGAAAGATACGACCAGGGAGCTGCTTGCCATGTGCTAGCACAGAATGAGCTCAATAGCCCTCCTTGAAATAATCGAGAGCTTATATAAAGGAGAAAAGAGAAAGTTAATAACAAAATTACATAGGATACAGTCCAAAATACCATATGTGCAGAGAATTATCTTTCACTAGTTCCCCTTCCTCCCTGCAGCTTCTCTGTACCACCAAGCCTGTTTTCTTTTAGAAGTGCCCCAGGTGATTGGCATGCCCTCTCTCGTCTGGAAAGAGCAACAATTGTCCCCAATTCCAGGGTCTGTTAGGCTCCTAACTTACAATAGAGAGTGACGAGACTTCTGGTTTCGTCAGCACAGTGTAAAATGGCAGCAGTAAAATCACTCTAGTTTACCTGCATAGTATATCCTGTTTTTCCCTCAGGTCATAGGGAGGTTTGGTGGCTAAAGTTAGCGTCAGGTATAGCCTCTGTGTGTGAACCGTTGTGTAGAGGGTGGTGAATTATTATCCTTCACTAGTGGGGTCTGTTCTGAAGTCAGAGTTTATGAGACTGGAGTGAAGAGCTTGAAAGCCGATCTGAAGACGTCCGATGCCTCAGAAGCTGTGAAGAATAAGGGCTGTTAACACCCGTAGGAGAAAACCCGTGGACAGATGCTTCAAACAGTGGCGGCCTACGAGGACAAAGACAACGGAAAGATAGGATCTGGAGGAAACCCATTCTGGAACTGGGGTCCCCTGTCCACAGGAACACCTGTCTCCAGGCTGCCTTCCCATGTAGGAGAGGCCTGTCTGGAGAGGAATGCTCAGTCAGAGGCAACACCAAGCCCACGGTATCACCGAAGCTTTTGAAAACCAAACTGCTATTCACCACTTGATTTACCTTCCCCTTCATGAAGGATTTCTATAGGTTTTACCTGCTGTTCTGCTGAGGAGCTCCCAGAGCCTATTTCCACTCCTGATAAGGATTTTGGATGCAGTTCTTGAATTTGAAAGACTTCCCCAAATGATTTTCAACTTTTTCAAAACCAAGGTTTAGTAAACTTGACAAAATTTTTGTCTGATCTGAGGGTTTCTGACAACAGACTTGTCTTGACTATAATTCAGCTCAGTGGCTCCTCAGTGTTTGCATGGTATCTCCTTTTCAATATTTATTAAATGCCAAAAATTCAGCAGAAAAACAAAGCTTGCAAAATACGGGGATTTGTCTTTTAAGAAATATTTGCCTGCCACCATGCTGTACTGATAACCTTCTCTAAAGCCACAGAGAAATCTGACTGTAAAAAGGAAACCAAGGGGCTGGTTTTCGGTGCCTCCTCGGAAGTCCACAAGGAGCTGACGCCTTGTTCTCTGAGAGGCAGATAGATGTGAAGTGCTCAGACGATGAAATTATGCACACAACTTCAAAGCTTTGCTCTGCTTGATGTCAAAGTTTTCTCAAAAAGAAAAGAAAAAATGTGTACGAACCTGTTACCCCAGTGACTGTGCAAACCTCAGATGCTGCTGGCCGAATTAGTCCTCTTCATGGTTGAGTTGGAGAAAAAGCTGATGTGAGACATGCAGCCCAGAAAGGGAAGCACTGAGCAACTGTGTGTTCTGTTCACTCATGAATTCTGTTCGATGGTGACTCTCTGAAATTTCTAAAAGAATTCTTTTTTCCCATATTTTTCACAAAAGAAATCCATTTTCATTTGAAATAAAGTGGTTGGGTTTGAAATATGTACTATAGAATGAGTCCTTTATTATATTTCTATGTTCAGGGAAGGACAAGTTTTAAGGGATCTGTCTCCTTCCTTTCCTGTGGCTGTTTTGAAAAGCAGGAGACATGTAAAAAGCAAGGAGAAGAATCCATGCAAGAATACTGGAAGCACACAACCCAGCTTGGAACAGAGTCACTGCTCCTACCAAGGCTGTGATCATGAAAAGTGGTGGGCTCTCCCTGAGTGCCCTGCTCTTGCAGAGAAAATAGTGAATCGTTCTGATTCTCAAAGAGGGTGATCATTGGCATCTTTCTAAAATTCAAAAGCATTTCCAGATAGTTTTACATTTTAACCATCCCATGGGTTTCTGATAATTGCCTTCCCACTGCACCCTGAGAGCACTTTCCTTGGTGTGGTTCCCCCTCAGGTGTGCAGTGTGGGGCCTGATGGCTTGGGCTGCCTGGGAGAACAAGGGTGTACCACACCCTTAAGGTCAAAGAAGCCTCCATCCAGCTGCAATTTGATCCAATGTATGAGCAAGAGAGGCTCATTTTCCTAACAGACCTTAGCCTCTTGAATGAGTTTTATGAGAAAAAACTTCACAAGGGGAGATCCAAGAAAACCTGGAATTATCTTCTGGAGGGTGGGCCCTACACTTCCTAGCAGGCTTCCTTTGCTAGGAAAGGGTTCTGAGAACCCATCTGTATTAGTGTACCAGCTGGCAGGCCTTGTGAGAGGCTGCGTTCAGGTTCAGTGAATTTTTTTTGGAAGACTTTCAATTTGTTTGCCCATCTCATGATGGGTGATTTACGAGCACACCTGCCCACACCACGCTGAGTGCTCAGTGGTATTTTACCAAAAACCTCATGACCCCCATGCACCACCCTCCCTATTCACCCAATCTTGCCCCAAGTGACTCTTTCTTGTTTCCCTGATGAAAAAAGTTCTCAAAAGGAAATGTTTTGTTGATGTGGAAGAGGCGAAACAAAACATAGCAGAAACGCTAAAAAGCATCAAAATCGACAAGTTCAAAAACAGTTTTGAGCAGTGGAAAAAATGCTTCAATAGGCATATTACATCAAATGGAGAAAACTTTGAAGGTGACTGAAGTTTAAACATGTAAAAATAAATACACAACTTTTTATAAATAAATTCCAGATTTTTAGGTCCCCCCTCATATTTGAACTTTTCCCAAAATGCAGTTGGTTCTTTGCCTCTGTGAAAACCGAGAATAGATGCCACACTGGAACCTCTGTCCATTCAAAACAAAACAAAACAACAACAACAAAAAAAGCCCACACTGTGGGTTTTAGCCTATGACCTTAAGCACTTACTGAGATAGCTTGAGAGTCAACTTTACAAACTTTCTGTAACAGTGAAACCTAGGTTGGATTATCAGACACACCTCAGGTACTAAATGTTATTTTACTACATAAAAGGTTAAATCATGCATTTGAAAGGGTATTTTCAAAACAGCCCTAAGAACAAACATTTTTCCTTGTTTCCATATGTTAGGTGAAACTCCCTTACATGAAAGAAACCCTGGGAATGTGTGAATGTGGAGTCAGGAGAAAACAGAGCCATCAGCTGTGAAAAGACACTATTCAGAAGGACTGTTCTTACTTTTGAACTTTCAAAGTTTAGCTGTTACTGGTCTGTAACGGAGGAGAGTTGCTGCTGTTTGTAAAACAGTGGCCCATAACGTAGCTCATGTGACTGATAAAGATTTGACCGCTCACACTTGTTAGCAGCAGGGGCTCAGGGAATGGGAGGCCTGTGCATGTCGGAATGACTGGAGGGCACTATGGCCCATGAGTAGGGGAGAGACCGGGGAGGCTGAACGACTTACAGGGCTGGACACAGGCCTCCGCGTGATGAATCATCCCTCCAAAAATGCCAGTAACGTTCCTTCCTGATCCCGTTTGTCCAGTATATACAAATAGATGCACAGATTTACAACTGGAAGAATGTCCCTGGAGTCAAAATGGAAATCTCCCTACTGAAAATAAATAAAATCTACTACCTGAAAAACTACAGCAAGCCCCGAATTTCTTCACTGACTAGTTCCACTAGATGCTTTTAGATCAGGACACAGCTGCTGTCTGAGTCCCGCTCTCTCACATACGCTGCAGTGACATCAGACTGTCACCCTGCATACTTCTAGACCAGGAAAATACTTGTTCATTTGCAGAGAGACCAGCCTTTTAGGCTTTTCCAAATTTCAAGTGAGGCCTCCCCTAACTGGGTGAAAAGCTTAATTCTAGAAAGTAGGAAAGCTGTCATTGACTTTATTAGTATTCCAATCTGAAGTCTCACTGTGAAGCAATTATAAGATAAGACCCTAAGACTTTATGGCAGACTTCATAAATAATCAGTCTGGGACCCTGTGCAATTCAACAGCTTTATCTAATAATATTAAGCTGCTATTAACCTAATGAGCTGAGAAATTTGTATAAATAAATAATTACATTTTGACAGGAGAAATGTAAATGTGACCCCATTATACAAATATATAAATTATTGTTTCTTATTTTGTAATATGTTTACTTAAATCTATGTGGAATATATATTTTGCCTTAATTAAAATGTGAGAATTAAATTAAAAACACAGGTTTTAGCAGATATATTCTTCATTTGGAATTGTGTTACTATCTTGTGAATCCTCTTATTAATCAAGAGTTCATATATCTCTACTTGTTTTTCTTTCACCCTCACTTTTTAGCCTATGACCTTAGGCACTTACTGAGATAGCTTGAGAGTCAACTTTACAATCTTTCTGTAAGAGTGAAACCTAGGTTGGATTGTCAGACAAACCTCAGGCACTAAATGTCATTTTAGGACAGAAAAGGTTAAATCATGCATTTGCAAGGGTGTTTTCAAAATAGCCCTAAGTACAAACATTTTTTCTGGCTGTTTCCATATGTTAGGTGAAACTCCCTTACTTAAAAGAATCCTAAAATATTTTAAAGTTGAATACAGATCAATGTAGGGGCCTGGGCCACATGTTCAAGCCACTGCTCTCTCCAGGGTCTAGGATTGTGCTGAACAACTGTAACACAGTTTTCAGACATAAACGGGTGAAGATTTTCCATCACATATATTTCTAATATGCACCTCAAAAATACATCCTGAGAGTATATCCTTCTTTCCACTATTTTCTCATTTATGATCAGCTCACACCTCCAAAGGCAAGAAATAATGATGTGGTGATTACACTGGTAATATGATTTGGATAATAATATATAATACATATATATATATATATATATATATATTACCCCCATGACCTGGATGGTCATGTCAAGACTCATAACCCCCAAAGTGATATGCATTTTCGAACAATAATGGGAAATAATCGGTCCTATCTACTGTTCATTAAACTTTCTCCATGTTCAGTTGTAATAACACCTTTATGGACAGACACAACCAAGTTAGGGTCCATGTTTCCTACTGAGGCACCATCCTGTTATTAGCCTTTCTGTGCGTCTACATGATTCTGCACAGCTGCACTGTTCGTTCAGGACCAGGAGAAATGGGAAATTAAAACTCTATTTACTATCACTGTGAAACTCTTATAGCCACAGGACATTTTCTTCCAAGTCTGACATGGATGCCATTATGTAAAACACAGATTTAAAAAGAAAATGTTTTATGCATTCTTAAGGCAAGGATAAGAGCTCCCAGAGGCACAAATAGGTCTAACTTTTCTACCTGAGGGGACAACAAGCATATTGAGTAATAAGAATGATTTTATCTTACAATATACAGAGATCTTAGACCTAATGTATTTTGCCTAATGTATCTTAAATTGATGAAGTGAGTTCAGAAGGATCCCTCCATCTTCTCTTGCTTTCTAGAACTGGTGAAGTTCCTCATCCTTTGCATACAAACTTCCATGTCAAAACAGACAGTTGCTGTTTTAACTTTATTAGACAGGATATAATTTGTGATAGACAGTAACTTGAACAAAGTCCTGATTTTGTCCTCTCCTGACTCTTAGATGGATGGATTCAAACATATTAATACTCTGTCATTTATTAAAATTAATTTTTGTACCTTTTATTCCCCTGAATTCTTAGACTAAGGTCCAGCCTCTTGTTGTCACATTATTTTGTCCTTGCAGACAGAACTCTCTCAATATACTTACATTTAGCCCCTACCTACCCTCCAGCAATACTTCCTGTGAAGATAGCTCATACACCTTGTCATAGCCATTTGAAAGATTCGAATGATTGATTGGAGTTGCTTAAGTAGCATTTTCAGTGCCCAAAATCTCACTATCAAACATTTGACTAGTTGCACTTTTTATACTAGTTGCATATTTCTAAGATCCTCATTGCCTATTGCATCTAATCTGTTTGATATGCAAGTTTAATATGTGGTTAATGTAAAACAGACAACTAAAATAGAATATTAACTATATATTAAGTGAATGAATTATAGTAATATCCTAGAATGAGTTATAGAAATATCCTATCCTATCCACGAAATATTCTTATTGGTGCTGTGTTGCCATAGAATTCTCTTACTCTTTGTGTCTCTCTTTTTATACTTCTCACCCTTAGGCTACCGAGGACAGAAAGGAGAAAGAGGAGAACCTGGAATTGGGCTTCCAGGTAGCCCGGGTCTTCCTGGGACATCAGGTAATAGTGATATTTATCTTCAAAACACAAGCAAGCTTCTAAAATCAGGAACCATGCCTTTTCCCCTACAGTCCTTATATGTCGCTACAGGAGAAGTTGAATAATCCATGTTGGTTGGAGTGAGGGAGAAAGAGCCATATGTGATCTGCATTCTGACTGGGGCTTTTATTTCATTAGCTCCAGGTTTGCCAGGTTCACCAGGTGCCCCAGGCCCCCAGGGACCCCCAGGACCGAGTGGAAGATGTAACCCAGAAGATTGCCTCTATCCTGTATCTCATGCCCGTCAGCGGACAGGTGGGAAATAAACACACCTGAGGAAGGCTTGATTTTTGGTGATATCTCCATGCTGTTGGAGCTATCTTAATACTGTCAGACCCTCCTGATATGTGGGTGGTTTTTATTTTCGGTGTAGGCAGACATTAAAAGCAACAATTTGAATCCTATTCTTACAGTAATTGCGATATCAGAATTTTGAACTTTTTCCCAAATTCATTCCATATGTCTTGCTTCACCATTACTGATTTTTATTCAGGGTTTTCTATGAAATACATAAGTAAATCTTACCATTAGTTTTTCTTCAAGAGAAAATTGCATCTTATGATTTAGTAGACTGATAGCGAGGTACACTTTGTACTCTCATCAACCAGTATTCGGCCTTTGAATTTTAGAATTCAGAATTGGTTTCTGAATTTTAAACTTTTAGACTTGCCATGATGTTTTCTTGGTGTTTAAATTTACTATCATTGCTAAAAATTTCATCAACATTTTTGATATAGTGCATCATTTCTGCTTAATGTTTTTTGACTACTTTTTTAGCTTAAAAATTCTTATACCATCCTACATCCATCCTACTTATGCAAAGAAATAGATAGGCAATAAGAGTTTCATGTTATAATATACTTTGGAAAAAAAACAGAGGCTGTTTCATCGGGGAGTCCCAAAACCCACCATAGCCAACTATTGAAGTGATTTTGTTAATTCTGTATAATGAGCCTAATTCAAAGCAGTCGCTACCAGCATGAACATGCACTGCATGAAAAGGGAGGAACAGAGTCCAGTTGTATGAGTTCCACAAGAAAAGCTTAACACTGTGGTCCCTCCACTGAGTTCCTCTGCTGAGAAACAGGAAGGTGTTTTCCCTAAGAGGTCTTTGGTGGTGAAGACACCATGCTGTCTGTGGTACTACCAAGGTCTTTGGGCCCTGTATCCATCATCCTTCTGACTCATCACTCTCGGACTAAGGCAGGAACCAGCCATCAGAACAAAGGATGAGATCTGTAGTGACTCAAATAGAAAGCCCTGTTCCTAGAAGATGAATGTGTGGTGTGGACAGATGCATATGGACGAGGTGGAGCCCAGAGACTTGTACAGAGAAGTGTGTTTCTCCAGAAGCTGCAGCAAGAGGTACAGGGCAATGAGGAAAAGCCATGGGACTGAATATGCCATTGGCACTCAGACCAAAGAGTCAGCACCCACATCAGGGGAAACAACCAGGGCTGTGAAAGACCACGTCTTCTGCCAGGGATCGAAAATGCAGTAATCACTAACCAAATCACTAGATGGTATTTGTATTGCTTGACTGTTCATTATTTTAAGAAACTGTGGGTTGAAAACAAATTATTTTCTAGAACATTGGGCATGAAGATGTTAATTGAAATCTACGTAATGGGTCCCTGAGAGCATGCCATCACCAACAGCCCTCCTCACAGAAACGAGGAAGTCACACCTCTTCAAGGAACAGTGCAGATTCCAATTTGGCCAAAGCAGGCTAGGATGATTGCTTTTATCTGTTCATTGAAAAATGAGTTTAGAAAGGCAAAGCCACTGAAATTGGAAAAGCTGTGAATAGAATTGTGTAGGGAGTGTGCCTCAATTAAGACAGGCTTGGTTCAAATGCACCCATGAGTTGAACTGGTTTTCACTATAAATGAAAGAGCTGCTGGTCAGGTACTGTCTCCATGGCTGTGCATACATGCAACCCTGTGGTCATTTCATACTGAATTATGTTGTATATTTTAATTCCAAGTTTATTTTATTTTTCAAGGTAATTTTATTTATTTCAAGTGTTTTTTAACTGAAACTTAATTCTATTCTTCCTTTTCTTTCTTGTGCAATACCTACAATGGTGCTGTATTTTAAATTTACACAATTGGAATATACATATGCATTTTTTTAGTAAAATGACAAATTATCCCCCAAAATGTAAAGAGATCTAAATCTGGTGCTATGTGTATATCTTGAGCTTTTAATTTGTTGAACTTCAATGTGTTGAGTTTTCTGAATGCTTATAGCTCATCTGCCACTCATTAGTTTACTTGAATTTGTCATAAAGCTAAACATTTTATGTTTTCAAAGATTAGCTTTTCATATTAATAGGTTTTTTATCCTTATGGCTCTCTGCTAATCCAGAAGTATTTATTTTAGCATTTTAATGTTTCCACAAACTTTTTTGCTGTTGGTGATCAATGTATTTTCCTTTGTTTTCTTTGAGTTGACCCTCTCATCTACATCAAAAGACTCAATTCATTTTCTTGTTTTATAACCTCTGTTTATTTTAATTCCATAGAATATATCATACATCCTTTCTTACAAATTGTTTTTTCTAAATTCCATTAATTCTGGGCTGTCTATTGCTGTTTCAAGAATTTAGATTTATTCAGGTGACTTAAGCGTATGGGGAGGGGAGAGACTGTAATGGTACATGGTGTGTATTATAAAGCTCTCACAATGACTCAAGCTCATTTTTTATAGCTAACACATGACTGAATATACCTTTGGCAAAACCGTAGACAAGGGCTGTGTCCGCATGGGATGGCCTTCCTCACCCCACCGTGACTGTGTTGGTGGCCTTCCAACACTTCTTCCTGCATCGTCTCTGCACACATTACACAAGGCCGGGTCCAGCTAATAGAAACACCCAATTAAGTTGGGATTTAGCATTGGCCTATTTTTTTTTTAATAAAAAGAACATGAATAATTAAGGCACCAAAGTAGGGTAGGAAATTCTCTCCTAAATATCTTAGTGGTTGCCAACTCACTTGTCTTATCTTATTCCATTCCAAAACATTCGTTTACTTTCACACAGATGTCAGTAATGTCCACAGCAGGGAAGAAGAACTATCAAATTTCCTGATTTATCTCTTTTTTGGACTCCAGACAACATAAGTGTTTAAATATGGAATAATTATAGGCCATGATGACAATAATTAAAACTGTGTTTGCCCTATGTAACTGTTTTTGAATTCCAGTCAAACATTTTATACCAAGATAAATTAACACTTCAAATAGAAGAAATCTTTCTATGCACAGAACAAGGTATGACATCAACTAATATTTATGGCCTTTGTAATCTAAAGAAGAAAGGAAGAATCATTCAAGAGTTTGTTCACTGTTCTTTCCTGCTGAAGACATAAACTTTTTTCTTAATCATGACAGAAACACAGCCAGTCTTAACCTTTGAAATTTTTCATATTGTGATCAAAGGAATTTAGTTAATGGTTTTAATCCCATATGCTTATTTCTATATTTCATGACATTGTTGAAACTTTAAGATTTTAGTCACTTATATTATGGAGCTTAAGTAATTATCTTAATATATGTTCTCTGTGAAAGTTGTCATTTGATGTTTGGGTTATAAAATAATTTTTTTAAGGGTATGCTTTTGAAGTTAAATAAGATTTAGCCTTTCTGCAGTGTCTCTCACCTGCTGAGAACCTGTAATATACCTCCTTTTGTCCACAAGATGGTGTTTAAAAGAATTTGTATCAGAACTGAACAGTCTTGCAGAAATACAAGGGTAGAAACCGTTCCGTGGACAACACTAAATCAGACCTTTGCCTTTGCACTTTTTTTACTTTTGTAAATAATTTCTTGTTAATTTATATTTGTTAATTTGTTTTGTTAATTTATATTTTTTCTCATTTTAAGTATTTCTTTGAAGCAGACAAAAATAACCTTTGTTAGCTAGCTCTTTCAACTTTATTTCTTCAGTGGGTTTTTATACCTAGTTAACTTGCAGATTTACTATTTGTAACTTTGGTTTGTACACTACCCTCGAATTTAAGTGATTAACATGAAAACACCTAAGAAATCATCCTACCTTTTATATGGGATAGATATATACTCTCTTTTGACAGACAAGTAAAAAGCATTTACCTTAATGCAAGAAGTTGACCATTTATAAAATTACACAATGTCTAAATCTTCATATTGTTCAAGGTACTTAAAATTTTACAACTAGATGTGTATAATATATATTTTTCTAGAACTATATCACAATTTACAAAAGATAAGGAATGCCATTTTTCAAAATACCACTTTAATTTTCCTAACATTGGCAGTAATATCCTGAGAATTTCCAGGTTAACTTATATGCATAAGCCTTTCAATGAATTCTGATGATGCTTTTGCAGACTCGTTCACTGCTCTTGTTCTTGAATTATTTTTCACATTTGTTCATGTCCGTCTTCCTAAGACACAGTGTTTCTCCTCATTGTTCCTCCTCAATGTTCTTTCTAACACTCCAGTGTTGAGGAATGAGCCCCCCTTTTATATGCTTCCTCTCAGAGATTTCACAGACTTCTAAGAGGAGTAGATGCAGAATTGAATTTGTATCCTTTATGCCTAGGAACTTCAAAGTGACTTAGCCCTTTGAATTGTATTCATTTATTAGTTGGCTGCTAAAGGTAGATTAATTACATTAAACGTGTTAACGACTAGAAGTCTCAGGAAACAAGACAAATGAACGTATCCACTTTCATTGTATGGTGTACCCACACTTTTTTCTTGACAAAATCAGGCCAGAGTGACTGGTCACTTTAGTCAAATTGAATAAAGGGCAAAGTGAACACAGAGGAAACTCATTCAAAGAAACAGACCCAGAACAGGAAAAATTTATCTCAAAGATAAGGCAGGCTTGTAGATCCAAAGCCAAGTCTAAGAAAATCTAAATAGGAAAAAATTCAGGTTCAGGTCCAAGAGTGAGTGTTATATGGTAAAACTCGAGGAATTACTTCATGAATTTGTCAAAAGTGAGTACTACCAGCAAGGTAGGAGATTTCACCAAACTTAGGAGGTAGTTCAATGAGGTGTTTGTTTTTCAGAGGGTGTGTGTTGCTTGACCATAAGCTTATGGATGTAAAGATGGTAATTACAACTTTTTATTTTGCTGTATTATTTAAGGTATATTTTAGGGATAAGTATTTTTCAGTATATTAATGTATTTAAGTTCAGGTTGTTGTATGGCATATTTTATAACTGTGTTAAAAATAACATTTTCCCATTTTGTTCTCTCTCTTACCTCATCAAACTAAGATTTGATTCAACACGCTCATGTTAAGTGGAATGGCACTAGTTTTATTCTGTCTTACATGGAAATAATGTTTTGAGGCCTTGATTCCTATATATTCATGATGTATAATGAGCTTGTTGCTTATCTCAGCAATAAAAAATTTGACTCTAAATCAAGGAATTCTGAGGTACAGTCATTAACACCATGGCTACTCTTTGCCAGCCCTTGTGGCCACAGCGCCACACTGCAGGGGCGTTGTCAGGCCTCCATGACAGGACTGCTCCCAAAGCACTCACATACCACGTGGGAGCCACGCAGATGCCATGAAACCTGTGAATCCGTCTATTGCAGGGTGCTTG